CTAACAAAAACAATATATATTTTACATATGTATTCTGAGTAAGAAATGTTTGTATGATCATTGGTATACATTTTCTTTACCATTAACACTTTCCAATATCAATCACATCTAAAGGCATTTCTAACCTATTTTTTGCAAAGGTATTTTTGCAGAGTAGAGAGATTCTTGTATTGTCCCCCTTAGGAAATGCTGCATGCTTCGGCCAAACACAGTCTGGTGTGTTCCATAAGTCTCTCATCCATTCCCCTGCACTTAAAGGAAAACAGTCTAAGCACCCAAATCACTACATCATAAAGAAACACTGGGGGCACCAGAACAAGTTCATCAGAATGGAGTTGTTATGGTGCCAGGAGATCCCTGACATAGGTTCATGATTGGTTTAACTCCAAAGACTTAAATCCAGTGCTGTTTAAATCTGATGCTGCCATTCTGCTACACACAGATTCTTATAGAAACATAGAATGTGATGGCAGATAAGAACCATTCAGCCCATCTAGTCTGCCCAATTTTCTAAATACTTTCATTAGTCCCTGGCCTTATCTTATAGTTAGGATAGCCTTATGCCTATCCCACGCATGCTTAAACTCCTTTACTGTGTTAACCTCTACCAGTTCCGATGGAAGGGATTCTTGTAACAGGAAGCCTCGGACAAGGCATCTCTGAGAAAGTCAGCTGACACCCTAAGCCAATAAGTAGCTCCACATTCACAAAATAGCTTGAGAAGCATGCATATTTTTCTTGAGCGGTTTCTAAAGGGTTATTCCAACCCATTTTGGCAATGCATCTCCCCTTTCACTTATAATGCTCTTTTTAACAAAATATTAATTTGCCTCAACCCTAGTTTTAAAATAAATCTGTAAAATTAGCAATAAACTTCCCCTCGCTGGTTTCCATGCCCAGTCTTATATCACTCCATTCCATCTCTGTGCGCCAATCAAATGCTTCAAAATGGAGAAGCATTTGACTGGACCAGCTCATAGCGAATGCACACACTCTGAGCTGGGAATGGAGAAAGGGAGTGGACAGGTGGAGTGAATTTTAATAATATTTTATAAAAAAAAACAGACATACCACGGAGGCACATTAACTATTACAGGGAGGTGAGGAGGGCAGGGAGAGATCCAGGCATGCTCCCAGGGTATATGGCATCAGAAGAACTGTTTGCTAGGGTAGGAGCTCATTAGGTCTTTTGACAATGTGCCAATGATAGTCAATTTTTCCACAGCTTAAGCACTACTCTGTTCTCAGATGACTAGGTCACATGTGCCGTGAGTACCGTATATACTCGAGTATAAGCCGACCCGAATATAAGCCGAGGCCCCTAATTTTACCCCCAAAAACTGGGAAAACGTATTGACTCGAGTATAAGACTAGGGTGTGAAATGCAGCAGCTACTGGTAAATTTCTAAATAAAATTAGATCCTAAAAAAATTATATTAATTGAATATTTATTTACAGTGTGTGTATATGATGAATGCAGTGTGTGTGTATGAGTGCGCAGTGTGTGTATGAGTGCGCAGTGTGTGTGCATAAATGCAGTGTGTGTATGAGTGCAGTGTGTGTGTGTGTGTATGAGTGCAGTGTGTGTGTGTGTGTATGAGTGCAGTGTGTGTGTGTGTGTATGAGTGCAGTGTGTGTGTGTGAGTGCATGAGTGCAGTGTGTGTGTGTGGAGTGCATGAGTGCAGTGTGTGTATGAGTGCATGAGTGCAGTGTGTGTATGAGTGCATGAGTGCATCAGGTGGGAGTGCAGTGTGTGTGTGTGTGTGTGTGTGTGTGAGTGCAGTGTGGTGTGTGTGTGTGTGTGTGCAGTGTGTGTGTGTGTGGAGTGCAGTGTGTGTGTGTGTGTGTGGAGCAAAGTAGCAGTGTGTGTGTGTGTGTGTGTGAGTGCAGTGTGTGGGTGTGGAGTGCAGTGTGTGTGTGTGTGTGTGTGAGTGCAGTGTGTGTGTGTGTGTGTGAGTGCAGTGTGTGTGTGTGTGTGAGTGCAGTGTGTGTGTGTGTGTGTGAGTGCAGTGTGTGTGGTGTGTGGGAGTGCAGTGTGTGTGTGTGTGTGAGTGCAGTGTGTGTGTGTGTGGAGTGCAGTGTGTGTGTGAGTGCAGTGTGTGTGTGTGTGTGTGAGGCAGTGTGTGAGTGTGTGTGTGTGTGTGAGTGCAGTGTGTGTGTGTGGAGTGCAGTGTGTGTGTGTGTGGGAGTGCAGTGTGTGTGTGTGAGTGCAGTGTGTGTGTGTGAGTGCAGTGTGTGTGTGTGAGTGGTGTGTGTGTGTGTGAGTGCAGTGTGTGTGTTGCAGAGCCTTGGTGGGGGGGTGGGCATTTTTATAAAAAAAATAAATTATTATTTTAATTTTTTTTTGTTATATTATTTTATTTTATTATTATTTTTAATATTATTTTATTATGAATCTATTTATTTTGTTGTCCCCCCCTCCCTGCTTGATACATGGCAGGGAGGGGGGCTCTCCTTCCCTGGTGGTCCAGTGGCATTGGCAGTTCAGTGGGGGGAGGAGGGGGGCTGGCAGAGCTGTTACTTACCTCTCCTGCAGCTCCTGTCAGCTCTCTCCTCCTCCGCGCCGGTCCGTGCAGCACCTCGGTCAGCTCACACTGTAAGTCTCGCGAGAGCCGCACTATGACCCCGCGGCTCTCGCGAGACTTACACTGGGAGCTGACCGAGGTGCTGACCGGACCGGCGCGGAGGAGGAGAGAGCTGGCAGGAGCTGCAGGAGAGGTAAGTAACAGCTCTGCCAGCCCCCAGTCTGTATTATGGCAATGTAAATTAATGTAGATTGCCATAATACAGACAGTGACTCGAGTATAAGCCGAGTTGGGGTTTTTCAGCACAAAAAATGTGCTGAAAAACTCGGCTTATACTCGAGTATATACGGTATATCTAGCACCCGGCACAAAAGTGCAGATTAATCTGTATGTGAAGATCCTAACCACCATTATGACCACTTCTAAAAGCAGAAGTGATCATGGCGGTTGGAGAAACCCTTTAAGATTTACAGTTCTACAATGAGAACTAGGTTTCTTTCTCGGGTGTCCCTTTAAGTGCTGCATGATTATGATAGATCAGTAGCCCTACATGTTTCTGAACTACATTTCCCATGATGCTCAGTCAGCCTCAAATGAAATGTACTTTAGATATAAGTAAAGTGGTAATGTTAAAACACACTGCCAGAAACAGTCAAGCAAAAGGGTTGGTTAACCCAGTCAAGGATTTAGAGATTACCCAGATGTTTAAAAAAAACAAAACAAAAAACACACTTAGACAACAGGTAATCCCTAAATCCTGCACTGGTAGGGGGTGCCTTGAGGACAGGTTTGGGTACCAGTGAGTTAACCAATTATAAATAATAGAAAAAAAGTCAGCACAGCCTATTGGAGCCCACAATAAAGCCCTTACAGGACACTTCCAGCACAACAATATATACATCCCATTTCTGAAAATGTGGTATTTCTCTACACCAAAAACTGCAAGGTTCTTGTATGTCTCTAAAATCAGGCCTCAACATTTCCATTAGCCACTGGCTAGTGAAGATTTAGCCCTAGAGAGAGAGTAGAAATTCACCCTGTTGAGTATGCTATGGCAAGTAACTTAAGGCCTGATTAGCAGTATAGAGCTTTAAATTTACACCATGAGAATCCAGATCATTAATATCACATTATTACGAGACAAGAACCAAGAATCTGCATCATTACAGCAGTTTACTTCCTAGTGGACTTTAGAACACTCTCGTACAAGGCTTTCTGTTCTGTGAACTCTATACTAGGCAGCAGAAAGGGATATATCTAAATGTGGAGGCAGTTTTACTCATTTGCATAAATGATTCCATGTGTAACTGCTTTACGTGCGAGTCGACTCTGCATTTATTTTTATATTGAATAGATTTCCTCCTAGGCTTGTAGTCAGCTTAACACTAAAAGCACTTCGTAACTTTGCACAGATTAATGTTATGTTCCAACTTGCTTGTTTTTCCACCACACAGTATTTGGATATTGATATTTAACAAAACAAAAACAAACATTGCAGATATATAAAAACCTTTATAGAGCCACTAAATATCTTACATCATAGAGAACAGGAAATAATCTTATAGAACCCGGTGAATAACATTTCAAGCAAGGCCTCTCTCACCTCCTGACAACCTTATTTTTGCCTGTCAAATAATGCCAATGTATAGCTCTATACTATATAAATTATAATTAGAACCACAGGGGCTTAGATCTTATATTCTTGCACTGCTAGTTTCCCAATTCACTTCAAGAAACAGTAAACATGAGATACCAGTATGAACACAACTCCACTGTTGCATTTGTCAGGTAGAAAAAAAAAAAGCATGCTTGTTTAGTACAGAGTCCTATTGCTCCCTCTACTGTCACACTTATAAAACTTCATGCCTCCTTATGGCAAGTCCTAGACGGCTGCCTTTTGGCACAGTGGCAATTCACACCTTAGTTGCCTTAAAATTCCAAAATGCACAAAGTTCCTCTATTCCAGCTCGTAATCGTGATATAACAAAATTTCAAAGGGAATATGACATCAATTACATTAACCATACAGCATTGTATAAGAAAAAGAAAAGTATCTTTACTGGCAACAAGAAACACACTGAAAAGCAAATGTCAGCCTCGAACCTTCACTTCTGATTGCACAAAGACAAAAATACAGTTCCACACAACAAAAAGAGTTTACCACAACTACAACCTACTGGTGGGTACAAATTCACTCTGATGACTTCCAGTTTGAGAAGGGCCAACAATATTTTCAGTAACATTTTTTTAACATTTTAGCACATATCCTGAATCGTTCTGCTCACAACCATTTAAAAAAAATAAAAATTAAAACTGTTTTTCATCTCCCTGTTGCTTTTTAAGATACTCTCCGCTCTGGAATAGTCTTAGCTCGTAAACTATTTCTATATATTAATTCAGGTTAGAGTATTACAACTAATATAAAACAATGAATAGAAAGATAAAATTGAAGGAAGGTGCTCCAATCACCTTGTGTGTGTCACTCAAACCACACAAAATACAAATCGTTATGGTGAATAAATAATTAACTGAGAGCGCACAACTGAAACATTAGTTATATGCAAATGCAAGTCTCCTTAAAAAAATAAAATAATAAATAAAAATGTGCTAGATCATGACATTATTCATGTAGCATTAGAATTTACACGTTAAGTTCACTTAAACAGGACCCTCACTAACTTCTGTTCTTATACGTCCAAACCGATTAGTTGAAACTATTTGTTTGCTAATGCACCTATTTGTACAGCACTGTAGAATGTGTTTAAACTTTATAACTAATAGTCATACTAATAGTTAATTATCTGTTACCGCCAGGGTAACAATGCATTAGCCATTTCTATAACACTGATCAATATAATTTGCACTCCTTTCAGTGGTGTTTTATCAGATGTAATATTTTGCAAATCTCTCACACAATTATTCATTACTGTTAAGATTACACACAGCCTGAAAAGCTAAAGAAATCCACATTGTAGTGGTTATACCTATGATGGCAACTGCAGTTAGCTTAAATGACCACTGGACGTCACTGGAACGAAAACAACAATCTGAGTTTCAAAGAAATTCCTCACGGCTCATATGAAGTAGCACTTTATACGGCTATTTATTATGAATATTACAGCACCAACACATGGTCAGGATAAAATACTATGCCCAACACGCAGAACTTAAGTAAAAAAATAAAGAAAACCGTAAGACGTATTACCGGGCCTTAGAACTGCCGGATTTAACGAATGAAAGGAAAAACACAAGACAGGCTGAGGTAAAGAAAGCCAAAGGTCAAGGAATATAGAAGTCAGAATTGTCAGGAGCCAAGCCAAGGTCAAAATACACTAGAAACAATACCAGAAACACGCTCTCTGATAACCAAAATGGAAACCACGACAGGGCACAGAGAAATGAAGGAAAAAGGTTTAAATAGCCTAAGGTGCTCCTTGATTGGGTACAGGGAAGCATGTGACAGTGAACACACACACACACACACACGTTTCCCAAGTTAGGCACTCAAAGGGTTAAATAAGAACCTTAAAAGGTTCTTACTTGCAGCGGCCGGTGTCTCTAATGATTACAGACCCGAACGCTGTGTGAGGGGAGAAGTGCCTATCAGAGGACAGCAGGCATCACAGGAGGAGGTAAGTGATAGGCGGCATGCTCATAACCATGTGGGAATGCCGCCACAATGAGATGCGCCTGCCGGGTCCCAGTCCGCTCCCAGGCAGGAGTGGACCCGGCGGGTGCCTGGAGACCGGGTGAGTATTCGATGGCATTCCACTTGCGATGTGGGAATGCCGCCGCAACGATACACGCCCGCCGGGCCCTATACTGCTCTCTGGCAGGAGCGGACCCGGCGGGCTGCTTGACCCATATTTACTCTTGCCGTTAGTACAGCAACACACAGCATTAAAAAGGATGTAAATGATATAAAATATTTGGGCATTGAGTTTAAAACAAATAAAGTAGAATGCAACACTTCTGTACAAGGTGCAAACTACAAGCTCCCTGGGCAGCTAGTGTTGCACTGGGCTGGCCTTCCCACCAGCTGAAGAGCCTCCTCTCTGAACTTAAATGGGGTAGCATTGCCCCATAGACACTGCAGCCCAATGCACAGTCCAGACCCTATCTGCAATGCTACTTTGGTACTTACGGCACTTCCTTGGTGTGCATGAGAATAGAGAAATATTGAACCAGTGTGACGGATTTCAATTGTCAAAGGACTTGTGTTAAAGCCAGCATGCTAACATAAAGGAGAGGTGCTTATATGGGGAAGTGATCGCAAGCAGGGTCTTATGACAGAGAGGTAGGATGTATGCAGTTTGGGGATTTTATTCTATCAACCAGGAATTCGGAATATGGTGGAGATGAAGGTAACAAGTGGATTCATAGGAAAATTAGCAACTAAGCATTTAAATTACCAGTATTATAAGTTATATATTCATTGCTTATGGTGTTTGTGGGGAAGGCTTACTTTAAAAAAAAAAAAAAAAAAAAAATTATAGAAAAAAATATTTTAATGTATTAATAGTTATGTGCATAGGAGTAATAAATAACACTTTTAATCAAATTTTCCAAATCCAAGAAAACACCATGTAAGTTATTACTGATAGAAAATTAGTAATGAAAAGTAAATTACAAGTTTACCTGTATTCAGGCTGTCTGCTCATGTGGGGGTCACCTCTTTGCCATCTGTATCCTGGACTATCCTGAATTAGAAGAACAAAAACTACATATTTATAAAATTTCAACTATGGACAGCTTGATAGTAAAAAGGGGGAATACGCAAGCAGAAAAGTGTTAAAGTTTGGTAAAAACATGGGGTGTGTGTGTGTGTGTGTGTGTGTGTGTTTAATACAATGTTAAACAAAAATCTGCACACCAGTCAAGCCATAAGACTTGCTTTTCCCACGGAAATCCCAAATCTGCAGTGATGTTACAACTGCAAAGGATTTTGGGGGGGCATATGCAAATTAGTTTAACAAAGAATCAAATGTTTTCCTCAATAAACCCCCCCCTCCCCCCACCCCCGATTTTAGCTACACTCCAGTTTCCTATGCAGGAGGGTGGATTCTGCTGACTGGGGCAGGTAAGAGTTTGCAGCTTGCTTTCCCGGTCTATCTTTAAAGAGACCATCTAACCATCATAACCACTTAAGTTGCAATGGTGCCAAGCGCCCCTTGGTGACAAATGGCTTTAGGACTGCTTGACAGTTACCTGGATCCCCCAGGTGCCTCAAGTCTAGCCTTCATTTCTGCTATATCTCCAGCAGAAATTCAATTTCCGCAATAGATTTATCAATTTCATCCAAGTTTAGATTAAATGAATTGGTTGAGAGTGACAGCTGACACTTTCTGCCTATTAAATCCATCCAAACACAGATGGAAGTGGGATCACTAATGCAGAAGATTAACTACTTCTTTAGTGCTACCAGAAAAGCAGGCTGTACTAAATGGGTAATTGTCAAGGTGTTTAAAAACGGTTATGACTACTCATCAAGCAATGGTACCAGGGGGAACAAAAGCAGAAATGGAGATATGTGAAAGGCTATTGAGCCTATTATTACATGTAACTATACAAAAGTACTTTGAAAGTAACAAATAGAATGAAATGCATGATATACAAGTAGTTTTTAGATTTGGTGTTTTTGAAGAATGGCATAGATTTATCTGTAATAAAAGCATATAAAATAAAACTAATATTACAGCAAGTTTGAAGTTGTAAAGCAAACAGGGAGCAGCTAAGCCAAGTGTGGACCTCCTGGGGAACTTGCTGTGTTTTATAGTTATGTGACCTAGCCCGACTCGCTTTCCTTGGGTGTTCTCTGATGTCTAATCAGCTAACATGCCAAGCCTTTATTCTTCAGTTCCTGACCTGACTCACACTTACCCTTTAATATAAATCATGCCGTATTATTAAAATTAAGTCATAACCATATCCTCGTATGGTCATATATACTCAATTGTATGTTTTACTCTGCACATCAAAACAAAAAGTTTTTCTAAGCCACTTGCGCTCATGGTGGTTATGTACAATGGAGCTAAATTAGGGAATCATAGTTGCAGACGGCTGTGGGGGTTGTGTGCCGAAAAAGGTGGAAGAGAAGAGCTGCAAAGTTGGGGAGCATCTCAGCAGCAAAAGGAAGAAAAGGAAACTCTGATATTCATATATTAATATCAACTTCTCAAAAGGGTCTGTGGTTAAAAATAAATACACTTTAAGCACGTTTTTAGACACCAAATTAAAAAAAAAAAAAAAAAAAAAATCACACACACACAAAGAAGAATTTATTTAGCTTGCTTTATGTACAAATTTTCCTTAAGCGCTAAAAATACCCGATGTACATACCCCTCTGTAAAGCCCCCCGCGTCTTTCAGCACTGTAGCCATGTCCCTCTTCATAATCTCTGTAATCTGGTTCACCATATTCTTCGTAGCGAGGATACGTTTCATCTTCTGCCCTTCTGTGATTAACCACATTTACCACCCTATGATATTCTCCCTGCAGAGACAAACACTTAAAGAAAATAAACAGAATACAGCTGAATGTATTCATGTAAAAAAAAAATTACAAAAAAACAAACAAAACAGGCAGGACACAATACAATAAGGATACATTTTGGAAAAGGCTTGACCTGTTTACTGTTTAAGTAGACTTTGTCGCATTCAGGTTAAAACAATAACAAATAGGTTTATTCACTAAAGTGACACTTCGCCATGATTTCAAATTTAAGGCCAGAGTAGCTAAACTGAAAGCATACACAAATTATTTTCAGTTCTGCTTTTTTGACCTTAAATTTTAATTTCGCTTTGGTGAAATCTCACTTTAGTGATTAAGCCCGAATGTTTCAGTCAGTGCCTTAAATCATATAACATGATTAAGGCACTAGCTGTAATCTTGCCATTTTAACTTGATTGAAGCAATAAAGTCTATTTTAAAGTCTCATTCAAATTTTATCTTTGTTGGATTACTTTGGGCCAAGAGTGGGCTCAGGGGTAGCAGGCTCCTACCGAGAAAATGATTAAGAGGATTAAAGAGTCTATATATTGGAGACGTGAGAGCAGTGAGCACAGTTTGAGACTGTCTAGTACACAATGCAAATTAGTTTGCATCAACAATTCCCATTTTGCCCCAAAGGCAAACACCCCACATGAACTCCACTCAAAGTTTGTAAATATTTTAAACACAGAATTACACTTACACACACACACACACACACACACACACACACAAATTGAGTTTGACAAACAGGAGCAAGATGTTCCAGGCTGTCTTATAGCAGCACCAATTATTATTTTTTTTTAAATGCCTTTACAAAACACGCTTAGCAACAAAAGTGGATGCAAGGTGCATGTCCAATACTTTACCATATTACAATTACAAGGAGTAACAAAAGTGAATAAAAATAAATAAATAAAAAAAAACACCTTTGGAAGGTGGAAGGTGGATAAAATCCTGAAAGACTATAGGCATCAGAACAACTTTTGCGTAATGAAACAGTTTTTGTGTATAAATCATGCCCTGAAGTCTTACTGCTCAATTCTCTGGCATTAAGTAGTTAAATTACATTTGTTTCTGTTGCAAACCTAGCCACACCTCCCATGGCTGTGACTCACATAGCCTACATGAAAATAAAAACCCTTTCATTTTCAATCAGATGTTAACTTGCTTTAAAGATTTGAAAATAGAACTCTGATCACACACACACGATGCTCCTGCAGGGTATAGCAAGCCATTAACAAAGCAGGAGATAAATTCTTAATTAAACAAATTGAGCAATAAAGGAAGTTTAAACATTACATATCACATTGCAGGAAGTGTTTAGGAAGGAAGTGCAAGTCACATACAGGGAGATGTTACTATAGCTGTATAAACAAAGTGATTTAAAGGATCACTATAGTGTAGGAAGTTTAAACATTACATATCACATTGCAGGAAGTGTTTAGGAAGGAAGTGCAAGTCACATACAGGGAGATGTTACTATAGCTGTATAAACAAAGTGATTTAAAGGATCACTATAGTGTAGGAAGTTTAAACATTACATATCACATTGCAGGAAGTGTTTAGGAAGGAAGTGCAAGTCACATACGGGGAGATGTTACTATAGCTGTATAAACAAAGTGATTTAAAGGATCACTATAGTGTCAGGAAAACAAACTTGTTTTCCTGACACTATGTAATCCTCGGGGACCCTCACAGTCTCCCTCCCGTGGTGCTGAAGGAATTATAAACCCCTTCAGCCACTTACCTTAATCCAGCGCCGGGCTCCCTCGGCGCTGGTGACCTCATCTCCCTGAAGTCAGCTCCCGAGCCAGAGCCGTGAGCTCTGGCTATCAGTCCATAGGAAAGCATTTCTCAATGCTTTCCTATGGACGTTCTGCTCGCTGGATACGAATTTCAGGAAGACAGCCACTAGAGGTTGGACTAACCCTGCTATGTAAACAAAGCAGTTTCTCTGAAACTACTATGTTTACATAGCAGGGTTAAAACCTGAGGGACCTGGCACCCAGACCACTTCATTGAACTGAAGTGGTCTGGGTGACTATAGTGTCCCTTTAACTAGTAGATGGAAGAGAATTGGGCAGTGAAACTGCAGTATGATTTACACAAAACTGCTTAATTGAGCTAAAGTTGTTTTGGTAACTATAGTGTCACTTTAAAATTACTATATGAAAAAAAAACAAAAAAAAACTTTTTATAATGTGTGACTATTTTGAAATGATCGCGTGTGTAAGTTTGTATACCTAGGGTTTGTGCCTGTATATTTATTACTGTGTCTGAGTGTGTGAAGCATGTAGAAGATTTTTCAAAATGCACACTGCCATGTGATAGGCCTCTACTGTGCATTGACAAGAATATTTTTATTTTTTTTATTTTTTTTAAAGATTCCATGGCATCAAGTGAACTTCCAAAATCACACCTTTGTACTCCTAGAAGGAGTACTAAGATGATACAGCTCCCAGAAGTTTTATCTGCCATGAAATGAAGACCAGAAAATGTAGGGAACAGGAAAACAGATTTAGTTATCTGTCCCTTCCCTCAGGCACCAGTATGAAAATGGACAAAATGGAAAATAGTTCTATTACAGAAATAATGTAAAGAGACATTGTAGGCACCCAGACAGCATGAGCTCATTTTAGTGGTCTGAGTACAGGGTCCCTTTTGCACCTAGTGCTGCAATGTTAAGCATTGCAGTTTCTCTTACATTGCAGCACTATGTCAGCCTCTAGTGGCTGTCTACAAAGCAGCCACTAGAGGGCTTCCTGGATAGAAACAGACCTCTGCATGAGGACACCCAGCGTCAGATTGTTCCCCATAGGTATAATCAATGATTCAGTGCTTTCCTATGGGGAGGTCCAATGCGCGCTTTCGGCATTTGCAGCACATGAGGATTAGCACCAGCTCATCGCAGGACGTTGGAGGGGTGGAGCATCGATGCTGGGATCAGGTAAGGTAACAAAGTGTTTTTAACACTTCATTTACACAGGCAGGGGGGGAGAGGCAAGGGGAGCAATAGTGCCAGGAATACAGCTTTGTATTTCTGGCACTATAATATTCCTTTAAGTACAGTAATCTCAAACCAAATTGAGGTAATGGAACCATTTTTTCTACCTGATAAGTCTTTCAGCCATTACATGAAATACAGTTTTTTTTATTCTTGCATACTCAACAAGTTGAGGTCTTGGGGTCTATACAAAGGGACCAATTTTGAAGTACATGTTTTTGAGGCATGATACTCACTAGATTTAAGCACATAATGTTTCCAGACTTAGTGAGGAATTGGTTGGAGAACACAGAAAAATCACAAACTTTTCAGTTACAGATTTTGGTTCAATTTGAGACAGCTAATCTAGACATACAGGGCTATTTACTAATGGGAAACTGCAAAAACCTGAAAAGGGAATTGCAAATTTCTATAATACATAAAATATAACGAATGGGCACCAAATACAGAAAAGGTAGTACATTCACCTGAAGGAAGAGAGGGGGGGGCAAACTTTAACCTGAACTATAGTCAACAAAAGAAAACTATGGTCACTAAAGGAAAAGTATGCATTTACTCTCATTTAATCCATGTTCGATAAAAGGAACCTTATTCTCTTTACTTTAAAGGAACACTATAGGGTTAAGAACACAAACATGTATTCCTGACCCTATAGTGTTAGAACCACCATGTAGCCCCCCCTGGTCTCCCTAAATATATCAAAATGTTACTTTTATTTCAGTCTGCTGCTGCTGGCTCTGCCCCTGATCTGCCTGCTTGGCTGATATCATCAGAAGTGGTGTTCTGAGCCAATAATGCTTTCCCGTAGCAAAGCATTTGGTTGGCTGAGATTGTCATAAGCAGATCAGGGGCAGAGCCAGCAGAAGCCAAACAAAGCCCTGGCCAATCAGCATCTACTCATAGAAATGCATTGAATCTATGAATCTCTATGAGGAAAGTTCAGTGTCTCCATGCAGAGGGTGGAGACACTGAATGTCAGTCACACTGTGCAGCATTGCACCAGGAAGCACCTTTAGTAGCCATCTGAGGAGTGGCCTGTGGAGGTATCCCTAGGCTGTAATGTAAACATTGTATTTTCTCTTAAACAAAAAAGAAAAAAAACAAACAAACAAACAAACAAACAGTGTTTACTACAAAAAACCTGAAGGGAATGATTATACTCACCAGAACAATTACAATAAGCTGTATTTGTTCTGGTGACTATAGTGTCCCTTTGAAATAGTATGAAGTCAATATTTTCAGAGTATTTCTTAAAGGATTACTATAGTGTCAGGAAAACAAAGCGGTTTTCCTGACACTATAGAGCCCTGAGGGTCCCCCCACCCTCCGGGTCCCACTCCGGTGGCGCTGAAGGGGTTAAAACCCCTTCAGCAGCTTACCTTAATCTCCCACTCCGACGTCAGCTCCCCCGTCCGATGTCACTGGAGCCAAATGCGCATGCGCGGCAAGTGCCACGCGCACATTCAAAGTGTCTACAGGAAAGCATTTCTCAATGCTTTCCTATGGACGCTCTGCGTGATGGAGGCGAAATTCACCTTTAGCATTGCAGATGCGCCTCTAGCGGCTGTCCGGAAGACAGCCACTAGAGGTTGGATTAACCCCATTTGTAAACATAGCAGTTTCTCTGAAACTGCTATGTTTACATGTAAAGGATTAAAACCTGAGGGACCTGGCACCCAGACCACGTCACTGAGCTGAAGTGGTCTGGGTGACTATAGTGTCCCTTTAACTCTCTGTATACTGTCACACATAACCCAGATAATTTCCTATACTGGGATATTTTTTGTTAACATTAGTTTCAGCTCATAATATAAAATGTAATTCATTGCTGCAGCTTTTCCTTCTCTAATATGCAAGCATGATTATGAGCTCCAGAAACTTATTTAATGGATTACTGTCCACAAGATCTTATTAACCCCTTATTGAGCAAATGTTCCCAAAAATAAACAGGTCAACTTCCATACACAAAGGAAGAGAAGAATCACTATCAGTGTTCGGTTTCAAGTACTATTAAAATACGTTGGGCAATCATTTCTCATATTCCAAATATAAATTGACAGTTATAGGAATGTGTAAGATACTACTTTAAATTATAGATTTTCATTTTTTGATCTTCCAGTACCAAATTGTAAATTCTGAACGGTGAAAGACCATTTTTAAAATGAGGCCAAAACAGTTAAAACCAGAATAAAACTTCATCTTGGCATTAACAGTTGTTATAAATACAATAACAATTTCTAAATTTCTTAATAAGAATTGATTTTGCTGCAATCTAGCCTAACATGGGAGTCAACCCTAAAATTTTAAGTTACTTTCAAAATGTTTCCACATCCATGAGTAACAATCAAATGTAAAAGAATTCCAGGACAACTGATACAAACTGCACATCATAGGCTAATTGACATTAAAAAAAAAAAAAAAAAAGCATTGCTATGATACAAATGCCTGCATTTGTAGCGTTTCTGGCCAAAGGAAATAAAAACTTCAGAAAAGGACCTCATGTCCAGTGTGGTGGTGTATGTCATGGGGCTGTTTATCATCCACTAATTTTTGTGCCCATGCCAAGGTAGACAGTATCATTTTATTTAAAAAAAAAAAAAATGTTATCGACCCTACCAGGAGTACGATATTTTGTTGCAAGTTTAGTTCACCACACTCCAAGGACAAAAAAAAAAAAAATATTCAAAAACCCCTAAATGGTTAGATAGCCCTTTCATGAGATAATTCAAGTACATTAGAACAATGCCAACAATAGATAAATAATAATGACCTCTGAGCAATCTATTGCGAGTTTAGGTATAATTACCTCTATAATGTTTGACAGTTTATTTAGATTGAGAGGCCTTGCTGACTGCATGACGTCTACTCAAATACTCAGCAACAGTTACTTTTAAAAATGGCTACGAGGTCACGTGATGCCAGCAGAACCAGATCATGTGATGCCAGCAGAAGACGAGATTTAGATGAGCTGTGGGTGCTCCATGCATTATTGTTTTTTTTTTTTTTGGTCCAGATGGACAAGGAGAGCATTGCATAAAGGAAATGCAAGCTAGCTTTATATTCTTTATATAATACTTTTGAATGTACATGTAAAAAAAAAAATTCAAATATGTAATTAATTTGTTAAAATTAATAAAATAAGCTGCACACTTTCTAAAAACGCTGCAAAAAATATACATTTTTATTATAATATATGCTAGTGCAAAGAACTGTTATAGCTATTTAACACGCGGAGACAAAAAAAAGAGACAGTGATCAAACAAAAACTCTAAATCGTCTAAAGGAACAATCCAAACGCTATGGATTAAATTGCTATTGTGGTGAAGGTGGAGCTGAAGTTTCGTGGCAAAGTAGATATGAAACAAGCTGGAATTTTTTTTCTTGAAAAATGTTTATTGTGTGTCTCCTTGTCTGTGCAGTTCCCCGCTATTGCTTTTGATGGACAGTCTAACAGTCCAAATTGGGCATTAGCAAAGGCTTGTCTGTCTAAATGGCTGACATTACAGTAATATTTTATGCAACTACTAATACTACATTATCACTTAGTACTACTGTAATGTAGTGTTATAAACCATGAGAGAGGCGCTGCGCTGTACCATAATTATCAAGAAATTATTTCAGGTTTACATTCAGTGCACATAACACTTTGGATTGAGAAAAAAATATTTGCACAAGACAAAATTTCTGCGCACACCAACTAAGAAAAAATAGAGAGAGGCCCCCACCTTTCTTAAATCATAAACATACAAATTTAAAGGGAACCAATAAGCAATCATTATTTTGGGACTACAGGTTCCCTTAGAGATGTAATCACCATCCACCACATTTGCGCTGTAAAATTACATTAAATGGTTTACAACGAGCCACTAACTCGTACAATTAATTGCTTCTTATAGATATTTTACAGTACAGGATTAAGCCAAGCCAACACAAATCAAGCGCCAATGTCACCACTGGGTAACAGAGCCACTTTAAAGATGTGTCTTGGGTGCACCCATCTGGCGGTCAGAGAGGAGGGTCCTCTTCATGATTGCGTTCTGCCCCAGCACACATACAAAGGCAATACTTTGAATTCAGAAGCATTTGATTCAATGCTTCTCTGTGAGAATCATTGCAGATGCAAAACAGCAATTCCCACAAAGGAGCCCTGTGATTCAGTGTTGCTCTAAGAAAAGGTAGAAAGGACTTGCGACGAGGGACTGTCTTGCTCCCACACTCCTCCGCCTTTTTGTTTTAGGGTAGAGGGGGTCCAATAATGTAAATAGAGATATAAACACTCCAGTCTGGCATTTTCTCTGTGTTGCAAGATAGAAGAATATCCAAGTACATATATAACACTTATGCCTTTAAAAGTGAACCAACATTAATTAAAATGTTCCAGAAGACATGAGAGGTCCTGGGTTAATTCTGTCAATAATGTGTTTTTAATTCCTTTGCGTCTATGCCATGAGAAGTCACTAATGGACAGGTATCCTCTTAATGGCTGATGAGCATTTGACAGATCTGTTTAAAACAAGAGGGAATGGGGGCTGTAAAATTTGTAAACTTAGGCCAAAATAGTCAAGTTGGTAAATTAGCTGGGATGGAGAATTTTTTACATTGGCTATTTTAGATTTTGCTTTCTATTTACCACAATGTGTCATTAAAATGGACATTATAGTAACTGTAACGGATCACCTGGCACCCCGACTGGGTACCTCCGTTGAAGGATGCTCCTAGCGCTTCCTGAGGACTCCAAGCACTGCAGCAGACACCACAACCATCAAACCGGAGAAGCATATGAATGCTCTCAAGCATATGAATGCTGTAAACAGCTGAACAGGAAAAGCATACAATCAGCTTACACTCCGGGCAATCAGCATACAATCCAACTCCCCCAATAACGAGACGACACTTCGTTTTGAGGTCAAGCAGAACTGACTGTACTGGCACATACAGCCTCTTTTATTCCCAATCCACAAACCTAGTACTGCCTACAGGGTTTTACAGAACAACCAATAACACACATACATTACAGAAAACACTCCCAGCAATTATACACAAAATCCTCCCCTCTGCCTGTGATATAATTATGTTACACAATGGGTTAACATAATTATCACAAGCAGGAAAAATACAGTTTTTATACATGTGCTATAACTTTAAAAATATACGTCCAATCTTCATAAAAATTACATATTCAGAATCTGCATGCTTAAAATATATACATATACAAAAATCAGGGCAATCGGTTCAGGGGTTAAAAAGTTAAGGGAAAGTCCTATTTGACCAAATGAAGCATGGTTTTTCCTGCCCAAAACCAGTTCCACAGAGTCTTCTATCCTGGAGATAATTGGGAAGTAATCCAATTATCTCCAAGGACAGAGGCAAAACTCCATTAACCACATGGCAGTACAAGACAGTAAAATACAATAAAATACACAAGGTTACATTTATTACATAAAATACAGACATGCAACATATCCCTAGATAGCTTCGATCTGAGCGCAAATTATTACTGAATGGCGCTCAGATCACATACATTCAGTTCAATTGCCATGGAGCCAAAGTCTTTCACATAGTCTTTCGTTATACGAATGGGCTCCATGGCATAGCTATCTGGGGTAACACTGCTCACATAGGGAAAGTACCGAATGACCCGGTTTTCAGGTCTTTGCAGGGGAAAATCCAGCATTTCAACATGGGGACATAGTCACAGGGCAGGAGGCTGGCAATCAGTCTTCTCCAATTCCCAGTGGCGAGGTCGGTTTCGCCACAGTAACCAAAACAACTTAAGGTTAATGAGGCAGTTTTTGTGTAAAGATCATGCCCCTGGAGTCTCACTGCTCAATTATCTGCAATTTAGGAGCAAATCACCTGATTTACCCAGCGCTTCCTTTAAAGTGAGATCTAATGTTTAAACTTCCTTTACTGTGCATTATGTTAACTTAGATTGTCTTATCTTCTGCTCTACTAATAGCCTGTGTTATAAATGGTCAATGTACAGAGGAAAAGATAAATACTTCTAAAGTAAGCCAATATCTGATTGAAAATTAAACCATTTTTTCATACAGACTGTGAGAGTCACAGCCAGGGGAGGTGTAGCTAAGGCTGCATAAACAGAGACAAAAGTGGTTTAATGCCTAAATGACAGAATTGAACAGTGAGACGGCAAGGCCTGATCTATACACAAAAACTGTTTCACCAAACTAAAATAGCTTTGTTGACTATAGTGTCCCTTTAATAAAGAAATCCCAACTAGTATAATATTAGATGTGCAACACAAGAAAATTCAACTTACGAAATACAAACTCATACATTACCTTAAACAGCTTGGAGGCTTAGCTAATGCACATGACTGTACCCATGCAGTACAATTTGAGAAATATATGGTTATGAATTATACAATACATATCCTGATGTAATAAAAATATAATGTTTAATATGTACAATCCAATACGGATCACGTGATCCAGAAATACATTGTTTTCCAAAGAATTCTCTCAGAAGCAAAACCTGACAAATACTTACATCAGGAAGAACATCACGTGACACAAGACGATGTCTAGGTATTCGCTCATAATCATATCTGCCATCAGCCCACATTTCATCTTTTCGATAATCCACTTAAAAGAAAAAAAAAAATAGGTTATGAATGAAACTCTGTGGCAGTTGTAAAGAGAAAATGTAATGAATTAGTGGGCTTATGCAACACAAAATACCGATGTGAGATAAGGAGATACTGAAATGCAGTACTTTGAAACCTAAAAAGTGTTGAGACACAAAATAGGATACATATATACAGAAATACTGTTGTGCTTTGGCAGAGGTGGGTATGAGTCATGGTGGTATATGTATTTGTTCTAAAAGTATCTTCAGATGCCAAATACAAGTAACCAAGGATTTACACAGTGTACGAATGCCATTTCAATAGGTTGGTGGTGATATTTCCCATTTATTTGCATCCGAGATGCAAATTAATTCACTTTTTTTTTTTACGTAAATCAAACATTCAATCATGTAATACAGGAATGTTTGATTAACATGGATGTTTAGGGTGCAGAGCTGGCCAGAATAATTTATAAGGCGCTATTTACCTGTGCTGAGGGACTTGTATAGCAGGTGCACAACTTATGTGAGTATTCTTTGCACAACAGAGGTGGACAGTAGGCAGCACTGTCAAACATAGAAGAATGGGTTTGAAGAAGAAACAGGTGGACCTAAATCATGCAACAAACTCTGCCTGCCAAGCATGTTGCTGAATTACAAAACTTGTGATTTTCTGGCCATCTATTGCATTCAAAGAATTCTAGGAGTTGTAGGTCAACAACATCAAGGAGAGAAAAGTTTGAAATCCCTGGTTCCTGCTACATTTCTTATAAATATTAATAGCAAAATGGAGTGTGAAGGAATACCCCATCACTTGGTTCGGCACATTTCGTTTATGGATATTAGTTTATTTTGTTGGTACAAACCTGGTTCGTTTCCCGAACAAGGACCACCCCAGAACCTCATTAGAACGTGGAAAACTAAGTATCCAGTATGAAAACCGCAAAGAAAACAATTATTAGAATGTTCCACTGGGCGGCCACCATTTCGTGCAATCGAACACACGTGGACGACAGTATGGATGGCGGCCATTTTTGTCTCCCAAACGCAGGCAGCGGGACTTGGTCGTCGAGTGCCTGAAATGGATTTCAGCCAGGCACCCCCGCGAGTGCTGGTGAAAATAGACCTGCTGCCCATTCAAGTTCCTTACCACCTGTACGAACGCTCTTCAGGAGATATGAACTACCGAATGAGGAGAGCATTCTTTATTTTAAAGATTTCGTATGAACTATGTGGTTTTCATACAAAACCCCCACGAATGGAGACTGGTTCTTGCCCCTATTTCCCTGTAACTATTTTGGGCTTCGACCTCATAGAAGGCTGGTCAAAAGTTCCCTGTGATAGCGATTCAAAACTATGAACAGATTTGAGCGATTTTTGGATATTATGGTCACTCAGATAAGGGCTATCCAGGGATCTGACTTTTGTGGGATTTCTATGGATTTGGGGGGTACTCTTGGGGTGTTTGAAAATTATGTTTTTCTGTACCTGGAGATAATGGCATTTGTACAGTTCCTGACAATCATCTCTCAGGCACAGAGCAGGAGTTTGTGACATGTATAAATTCTGTGACTGTGTTCCCATTAAACAGTTCTACGCCCAGCATTAAGTGTCAGCTCATGTGTATGGGGATATTTTACTTCAGGATTATTGGAGCTGTTTTATTTGGGGGGAAAAATTAAATAAATCGAATCCATGGCAGCGATATATTGGCGGTCCGCCACATTTATTATTTCTGAATAGTAATTATATGCAAATGCTGGTGTGTACACTATAGTTAAAACATTTTCTATCTTGCAACCGCATTTTTTGCACATGTTCTAAACAAAGGTTTTTTTTCCCATATTTGATTAAAATTGCACATACTAAAAACTTACTTGCAGGGTATATGCTTAATCACATTAAGTGTCTTGGTTTCCGCTGTAATTTCCTCTGTAAACCTTCATCAAATAAAAGAAAACTAAAGTCACTTAACACAAACAAAATAGTAAAGCAAAAAACATATATAAATCACAAAATATATACACAATTCAAATCTGCATTCTACTTCAAAACAATTTGTAACAAAAAAGCAACAAAAAAAAACACACCCCTCAAACAAATCTTTTCAGCATGCGCAAGTGCTTAAGGGTCTGGAGTGTCCTAGGAATGTGTATTCCTAACACTATAGTATTAAAAACGCAGTGTAGGTGTAAATGCCCTGTGTGCCGCAATGGCCATGGGCCGACAGGAGAGATCACAGGATCTAACCTGCCAGCCCTAGCTGAGCCAGCTAGCCTATCCGAGCGCTGGCCCTGCTGTGTGTGCCTCCATGAACCGGTGGGAGAGGGAGGGATTCGGAGCTTTGCTGCGGGTTACCACAGTAACGCTCAGAGGATCTCACAGGAGGACTGAACTCTACCTGCAGCCAGACGAGTGCTGCTCATCTCCACCAGATCACCAAGCAATGTCCCTTTTCCTTGGGGAAAAGGTAAGAAGAGGGGACGGTTTATTTATAATACATTTTTTGATGAATTACTTCTATTCCCCCCCCACACACAGAATCCATCACACACACACACACACAAACAGAACCCCTCAGAAATACAGCACCCTCACACAGAGCACCCCTCACAAACACAGCACGCCCCACACAGCACCAGGGAGGGGGGTTGGTGAACACTACTCCTTTGCTGAGATAATCCATCATGATTATTGCACTGGTGTGCCTTAAGCTGGCCACAATTTGTGTGTCCGTCTGTTTCAAGGTGTGTGCCAGGGCATGTGTCTGTGTGTCTGACACACAGATACATGCCCTGACACACAGACAACCACACAGACACTGATACAGATGCAAACACTGACACACATACAATGTCTGTATCTGTATTTGTGTCAGTATGTATGTGTGTGTCAGTGTCTGCATGTGTGTCAGAGTGTATCTGTGTACCTGTATGTGTCAGAGTGTGTATCTTTATGTATGTTTCTGTGTGTCTGTATGCATGTCAGTGTTTTTATATGTTTGTGCATCATCGTGTTTGTACATCTGTACCTGTATGTATGTCAGTGTTTGCATCTGTGTGTGTGTGTGTGTGTATATATCCATATGTGTGTCTGCGTTTGGGGCAGAGGAGAAGCAGGGAGAGCCTGAGGCTGAGAAAAGAGGGATATGGGACAGAGAAAAAAAAACGTATACGTTTGAAAAAAATGCAACTATATTAATTACAAAGATTTTGCTAATGGGAGGGGTACAATGTATGGAAATGGGCTACCAAGGGTTAAAAAAAACGTTGGGAACCACTGATCTAGTGGAAGACAGAGAGAGACTGAAAATAATATATCCCTTACAAGACACTTCAAAATAAGAAGACTTCTAAACTGCACTCAAATGTGGCAGCATTCCAGTTATGCTGCTATCTGAAACAAGCCTTGAATAGGAATTTTGCTTAATAAGTTGAATAACATTCATTTGAATAAATTCAGCTTTCAATTCATTTGCTCAGTAATAACAATCTATCAAAATGTATAACGATACAACAGCATGTCCTCTTTACACTAAAGAGTAAATTGGATTCAGAAATATTGCATACCAGGAAAGGTAAAATAGAGCTCAGATAATTAGTTTAAAAAAATAAAAATAAAGAATTCTCAAATAATTACAATTGCAAGGCCAATAGGTGTTTTAACATTTTTTTTATTTTTTAAACAAAAAAAAAAAATCCCACTGTTTGGCAAAGCTGCCTTAATGATATGAATAGGCTACCATGCACCTGCTTGGCTGAGAGTCTAAGGAGTTGCAGTCCACATAGGGCGAAGTGACGTGTCTGTTAGTCCACCCATTGTAATAATAATAAAATAAAATAATAAATTATTATTAATAAAATAATAATAATAATAATAATAAGGTGCAATGCAGCTCATGGCCCAGGACCAGTGACTCCATGCCCAGTGTTTATTGAATGTGTGGCACCTGCAGGAAGCAGGGCAAGGCACGGGCCATGTTGCTTTGTTACTGTGAGCAGGGTTAGTTATACTCACTGGGAGTCCAGCCTCACACTCTGAGCAGCTCTGCACTCTCCCCGCCTCGCGAGCCTCTCTCTGGAACCTTTCACCCCCTCACTGCATATGTCTATGCCCTTACTGCACAGCCAACTTCCGGTACTGACCGTGCGACGCCTACAGGACAAGGTGGGGACCAAACATCCTCCAAACGCGTTCTTATTAAAGTGTATTTAACTTATTTTATTACTTTTTTTTTTTTTTTTTGCTAGTGAACACAAATTAGCGGTGGCAGTTAGTATCCCAGCTTCTGTGGGGGGATATAGATTCTGCTTACTCACCAGGCAGGCTGAGAACCAGTATTATCCAGTGTAATAAACACACCTTACTTTAAAAAAACAAACAAAAAAAAAAACAAAAAAAGCCAAAGCTCATAGAACAATAAAGAGGAATGGAAAGGGACATGAATGCATGTTACAAGCAGACTGAAGTGCACTGATGTGAACATGGCAATTTACAAACAGAAATGCGGTTTTATTTTTCCCCTGGTTGTACAATTTTGACCCTGTTTCCTCCCTGTAGCCTGGTGACGTCACGAAGTAAACAGCCACCCAGAGCAGGGCAGGAAGTTGGGCTGTGAGTCCCATGGTGAGTCCTGTTGGACATGTTATAGAGTGCTGTGTGATCAGAACCTGCCAGGACAGGGTGAGTGGGTGTCAATACATTGTAACCATGGCATGAATGTGCTTTGTCTATACAGACAGTGCAGGAAAAGCCACTCTGTTAAAGGGACACTATAGGCACCCAGACCACTTCAGCTCAATGAAGGGGTCTGGGTGCCAGGTCCCCCAGGTTTTAACCCTTCACATGTAAATATAGCAGTTTCAGAGAAACTTACCCTGCTATGTTTACATTACAGGGTTAATCCAACCTCTAGTGGCTGTCTCCCAAACAGTGGCTAGAGGCGCTCGTCAGTAGGAAAGCATTGACTAATGCTTTCCTATGGGCGTTTTGAATGCGCGCGTGGCTCTGGCCGTGCATGCGCATTCCGCTCCACTCAGGAGCTGAGGTCGGCGGGGGAGGGAGCCCAGCGCTGCACTAAAGTAAGTAACTGAAGGGGTTTTAACCCCTTCAGCGCCAAGAGAGGGGGGCCCTGAGTGTGGAGGCGACCTAAGTGCTATCTAGTGTCAGGAAAACGAGTTTGTTTTCTTGACACTATAGAGATCCTTTAATTCTCCCCTTAATAAGTAACAATAGAATTAAGTTACACTTGTTTGTAACTATCAGGTATTGATTTATATATACAAAGGAGTGTTAGTTCTATAAGAGTTGGAGCTATACCTTATTATGGCCATCACTGGTTTTGTAGTACTTTTGCTGTGGGTTACTCCAGGCACCATGACCACTTGAAGAAGTCATGGTGCCTGGAGTCTGTATGTGCAGTGATTCACTATGAAACAGTGCACATATAGTGCTTGACCCCTCTGCTGATGGAGACAACACCTAAATAGGTAGTGTAACACTATAGCATAAGAAAAAACATGTTTGTTATCTTATCACAATAGTGCTCCTTTTATGTCATTTGCATACCGTGCCCTGGTTGTGCCTAGACAGCCAGGCATGCCTTGTAAATATAACAATTACAACTACTTAACATTTTTAAAAAAAATAAAACCACCATCCATAGCAAGCATTTAGATCTTTTTTTGCAATAGTCAAAGAGTCTTACTTTAAATATGCATACTATACCAGTATTCTTCGCATACTAGATTATTTTGAAAAGGTGTCTTTAATGTCTAATTTATTATTATTATTTTTTCTTTCTTTTTCGTAAGAAAATGAGTGGAGGCCTTGCACCCAGTAAAAGTACAGTGTATGTTTCCAATCTGCCTTTCTCTCTCACAAACAATGATCTGTACAGGGTAAGTTGACATATTCTGTCTATTTAAGACATAATTTGTATTGTTCAAGGAACTTTCTAACCTTGTTACAACTTTTCCTTTCAGATCTTTTCTAAATATGGCAAAGTAGTGAAGTAAGTAGATTTTTTTTAGAACACATTTTCTGTTATTAAAGAGACACTGTAGGCACCATAACAAGTACATATCATTCAAATAATTGATGATGCTGGAGTCTGCAGGCAACTTCTCTCTCATCCCTGTTAAGCTGTTGCCTAACTGTTTTGCATGGATACTGGATCCCTTGGGACTCGCAGCACAGCTCCCAGTGGCAAAAACAGAAAGCTGATCTGCCTTACGCCATATGGAGTTATACCAGGCAGTGACAGGCTGAGAGTGTATGGTATAATGTAAATCTACTCATTGACTTCATCATAGTCATTAGGGACCAGGCTGTGAATGCCTACTCAGTATGATAAGTTTTACAGGGATGCAAGAGACTATCCCTACAGACTGCATGCAGCATAACTACCTCAATGAGCTTTTTGGGGCCTACAGAGTCCATTTAAAGATTCAATGAAAAATAATTAGCAGCTCAATGTCAAAAGTGCAAATAGCTGCATTGAGAATGCAGAATTTACACCTTTTGTTTACCAGTGTCTGTTTCATCCAACCTAGGTGGCAGTTATTGTCTGGGGTGGGGGTAGTCTACTGTTGTCGTCATTTTCCATCCATGTAATATATCAGAATTTATTAACATTTATTTTTTTGTGTTTCAGAGTCACAATTGTGAAAGACAAAGATTCTCGAAGAAGCAAAGGGGTTGCATTTGTTTTATTTTTAAATAAGGAATCTGCACAGCACTGTGTTCGAGCACTAAATAACAAACAAGTATGGCAAATAATATAAATTGAATAATTTCTTTGTTTGACACCAGTTACCAGCAGGAGAAAAGTAATGTTATTTTTGCTTTTCCCTTAGCTGTTTGGCAGAGTTATAAAGGCCAGCATAGCGATCGACAACGGCAGAGCAACAGAATTCATCCGGAGGCGTAATTATACTGACAAGTCAAGATGTTATGAATGTGGTGTAAGTAAAATGATCCCCTTTTCCTCTGACTTCAACAGTGCTCCCATTTACAGGAATGGATATGCCCACTATAATACATTGGATAGATAACAAATGAAAAATATATTAAAAGGAAAAAGAAATAAATCATACTTTAAAAGTTCCTTAAAGAGTCACTATAGGCTTCCAGACCACTTCATGTCATTGAAATTGCACACTTGTGCAAAGTAGTGAGAGGCGGTGAGCATGGGGTTGCGCTGAACCAGTCATTTTGATGAGACTAAATCATTATTATCTATTTTGGTCTTGCTGAATTGACTCAGGAGTCCAGAGCAATATAAAGCGTCCAAATCAGATGAGAATGTTGTGTTGTAACTAGTGTATAACCCCACATTTATTTATGTATCTGTTCATTGTAATAAATACTGTATGTATATGTTAAGGATGATTGGAATATGTATTTTTATGTGTATATTTACATCAAGTGGCTAGTCGTAATAGATGGTACAGCTTAATGATGTTACATAGAGATCTTCAATGGAGAGCAAGTGCCTTTGTCCAGAAAGTCAGGGGATAGACCATTAGGTCCTTTTGTAATGTTCTACATAATTATGGCTATAATTATGTCAGAACTTTTAGCTAAAACTCTTACCATATAAGGTCACATAAGAAGACTCTCAATCCTCTTGGTATACAATCACCTTCTAGTCTTTTTATAGTACAGAATAGCATATTACTATCTGTTCTTTTTAACCCATTAGACATCCATATCTAATTGCATATGCATAAGAACATAGAATATGTAATATTCTACATTTACTTCTTTGTTCAGGACACAGGCCATTTAAGTTATGCCTGTCCCAAAAATATGCTTGGGGAACGTGAACCTCCCCAAAAGAAGGAGAAAAAGAAAAGAAGGAAAATGGTTGAAGAGGAGGAATTGTAAGTATTCCAAATTTGTATATCTGTCCGGTGTGTTCAAGGTATGTAGCCTTCTATGTTAAAGTTTAATTTTGCTTTGGTTTCCAGTCCTGAAGAGGAAGAAAGTGAAGATGAAGGAGAAGACCCAGCTCTTGATAGCCTCAGCCAAGCAATAGCTTTCCAGGTATAGACTCATTTCTTATATTAACATGAAGCGTAACCTGATCCTACCATAACTGCAGCTCAGTGTAGTGGTTATGTTATCTTGAGCCTCTGGCTTCCATCCTGTTTTTCTATAAAAATATTTAAAAGGTGTCTGACAAAAACAGGGCTCTCCATGGCACACAGATACCACCCCATCCTTAGGTGAATTGATAATGTGGAAGTTATACTTCTGCATTATCGGTGTTCGTGTCCAAAATGGATGGCAGTGATTAGATTTCGTTTTATTAGTCTTCCTCTTTCAGTCTATCGGTGTTGTCCAGTTTGGACAGATCTAATAATTCATTAATGTGGCCAGGGAGTGGACAATCTGCCTGAGCTACAAATTGCCTTTGTGAAATTTCCATGTCAATAAGCCACAATTCCAGTCCAACACATAACCACAAATTAAAGTGAAATTCCATTATTAAACTCTGCTGTTGTCTGTTTTCCAGTATGTTATTTCTGTTGTTAACCCATCTCACTGCTGCATGTACCCAGGCTGTTTGGTCCTTTCACCACATTGCTGACACACCTTACATTACCATATGAATATACTTTTATGGTGCTCAGAGCCTACCTCTTTAGTGTGGAATAGCGAGTGGTTGACTGCTAGTCACATTGTTTTAAATGAAAATTCTTTCTTTTCCTGAGGCCTGTGTACCAAATACATAATGACAACTGTATTAAATAGGGCTTGGACAGCTAGAACCGATGGATGCAATTTGTTATTGTTTGTTTGGTACAACAATGGAAAATACTTTGTACTTACATGAACTGCAGTATCTACTTGGATGTTACTAATATTTCTCAGATATATAGCCTGTCCGTGTAGGCTCAGTATTGTAAGCACTGCCTGTTCAGAAACTTTCCATACATGTACACTAGCCTCACAAAATAAAGTATTTTACTAACTTTATTTAATTTAGAGTGGGGCCTGATAATCTAAACCGTTAAAATATTGTTCCTTTAAGATGCTGTGGTTTGGTACTTGGAGTGTCCCTTTAATATTTTTTTTTTTTTGTTTTAATTCTTTATTTTTGCTGTGCATGAGGTTACAATTTAAGCTCGCCATGCCACAATAGCAAGCACTTCATAAACACATATCATCATGGCATTTAGTAAACTTGCACATTTTTAAGTTATAGCAGTCAATAGTATTAGGCTGGTCAAACATGACTAACTCTTTAGGCAGAAAACAAGGCTTAAAGGGCCAGCGAGATATGTGGTGTATAGGTAAACATGAAACTTCAAAATGCAAGTTATAGGGTGAGACATCATCTGTAGTATTACTATATAACTTAGGCTGGACAGTATGGTCCTGTATCTCAGTTTGGAATATTTTATTTTTAAATACATGTTCAATCTATATTTTAATTCTGAATCAGTAATTTTTTAAATTTTATTTTAGTCTACAGTTTCAGATGGTTAAGGGTTAGACCATGAGAATATCCAATCTATTTGCTAATTGGTTGGCTTTAATTACTATCACCTCTATTTTACAGCAAGCAAGAATGGAAGAAGAAAAGATCAAATTGAGAGCAGCTCAGAGTGAAGCTTCTACATCAGATGGTTCCAGGAGACCTAGAATCAAAAAGAGTGCATATTTCAGCGATGAAGATGAACTTAGTGATTGAGATTATATGTTTTTATTTTATGTGTCAAGTGGGCTGATTACAGAGTGCTACACAGGTTTCTTTGAAGTTTATTGGTTTCCATCCAAGAAACCAACTGATAACTTTGTTACGTCCAGACTCCAGAGACTAGCGTGTCACAATAATTCATGTTTTGTGCAACTAGACGTATTGTGGTTATGTGGATAAAGCAATTGTGAAACAATCATTATAGGATCTTGCTGATTCTCCCACTTTTAGAACTTTACCCTGCAACTGTGTTACTTTTCACCGGCAACAACTTTATTTACCTCCCCCAGTGAAACAACTACATATATTTCTTGCTTTTAAATTGATGTTGGAGTCCAAGCTTTTATTGATGGAATTGTTGTCATTTTGTTGAATTTGTCATCCATAGGGTGCATTTGTACCCTAAATACATGAAGATAAACTTAGCACCTCAGATGTCTGTCAACTACATTTCACCACACGCAGTGCTGTGATGACAAGGTTAGCCATCAGTGACCAAATCCCCTGTTATGTATCTCTCTGACTCTCATTTATCTAAAATGTTACTTTACGCATTGTGACAATTTCAGTGATTTGAAGTTGATATGGTGTTTGAAGTCTTATCTGCCGCTTTTCAGTAGGAAACATTGCACATACAGATATATTTGATTATGCTGCTGGAGGTGTAACTTTCCCACTGGCACCAGCAGCAGCCTGGAACATTATTTCCTCGCTGTTAATGTGAATTTTGTGCGTAGAATGCATCTGTCAGAAACACACATGGCATGCTGGTGACTGACGTCCAATGACGGCGTGGTTCTCCACTCTTTTGCCCACAGTCTTGCACAAGCCCAGCAGTTAGGAGTGAACATACAGGTGAATTGGACTGTAGGGAGAACTTGGCCTCAGTAAGGGATCTCAGGAGAATTTATTCTTCTTTTTCTTTAAGATGGGGTACCGTCCCATCTACATCCTCTATGCATTAGATTTATATTAAATATAATTTAATCATAATAAATATACAGTCCCTAGATTATATTACGCACTTCTCACATTATTCTACATAGGTCTTCTAACATAGTGATGGCACTGGAAAGTCAAACGCCTCAATTCATTTTGGCTCTTGCTATGTATCTTTTCAATATGAATTCTGCATTATGAGTTAATTGCAAGAGTAGAAGGCATGGAAACATGATGGGTATCCATTACAAAAGAGAAGCACCAGAACTCATACTTCCACATTCTGGAGTATGTGGTTTTGCAAGATCTGGACTGCGTACAGTATTATAATAGGTTGCTAGCATGTTTCTTTTTGGTAGGGCTATCGCTGTTCTAGATGCCCCCATTTGTAATGTAGATTGCCAGTTGTGTAAAACAGATGTGTTTTGTGTAACCAAATGCATTTTTCATTCAAGGAAACATACATTTTGTTACACCTGCATGATGGCAAAAGCTGTAAAATACTAAATGATCTAGCTATTCCCAAGGATGTTGTCTGGCTATGGAATATAAATAATGTTCTTTGACCTCAAAATATACTCAGAGTTAAGAATACTGTAGGACACATTTGAGTAACGAGGTTTCCGTTTTTGCCCCTTTCCAATTGGTCACCAGAATTGTGATGCTAGATTGCTTTCTAGGTCATTGACTCTGAATTCTAGTTTAAATGTTTGTATACTTCATGTACACACTTGTTTTTTGTATATATAACTTATGTACATCATCCATTAAAACCAATTTATTTTTTCTCATAACTGTAGTCACAGACTGTGTTCTTGTGGTGGGACCTATCAGTGGTACTTGTACACAGCCAGTAGAGGTGGAGTTAACCATGAGATGTAATAATTGTGGTTTCTCAGAAACTGCAATAATTACCACTGCAGGATTATGGGACATTGCACCAGAACACTTCAATGAGCTGAAGTGGTGTGGGTGCCAACAGTGTACCTTTAACTTGAGCCGGAACACAAATTTGAGTTACCAGTTATTAGAACAGGTTAGTCATTGTGTTCAGCCTCTAGGCCAGTGATGGCGAACCTATGGCAAACGTGCCACAGGTGGCACGCCGGGCCCTCTCTGTGGGCACGCGGCCATAGGTTCACGATCAATGCAGAGTAGGCACCTGCCTGCCCAAAACCTACTCTGCTTTCGTGTCGGGAGGGATCTGTGAAGCAGCTCCCCTGTCCTCCCGCGAGCAATCTATGTGGAGCGTTGCCGCACGTTACCATGGCAACGCTCCACACAGCATCGCGCGGGAGGACAGGGGAGCTGCTCTCTACAATACTTACCACCACCGGACCACCAGGGATGGCTGTGTGTCACCCCTCATTCATCAAAGGTAAGAAGGAGTGAGGGAGGGGGGGGATACAGCTTTAGCATACTTTTTATTTTTTTTACCACCCACACAGCACCCCTCCCCTCACAACCAGCACCCCTACCCCCCAACACACACATTGTACCTCTCCCCTCAACACACACACAGCACCCCTACCCCCACACACAGCACCCTTATCCCTGCCCAGCACCCCTCACAACCCAGCACTCCACACACAAACACATACACTGCACCTCTCAATGCAGTATGTGTGTATGTATTCAGCAGTCTGTGTGTGGCTTCAGCAGTCTGTGTGTATGTATGTATTCAGCAGTTGGTGTGTACTCAGTGGACTGTGTGTATGTATTCAGCAGTCTGTGTGTGTACTCAGCAGTCTGACTGTGTGTGTGTGTGTGTGTGTATATATTCAGCAGTCTGTCTGTGTATGTATTCAGCAGAATGTGTGTATGTATGTATTGCATTTTGTTGGAGATACTAATAAACATAAGCTTTATTTTATCTATTTATATAATTATTTAAAACACGCACAGCACCCCCCCCCCTCACGCACAGCGCCCCACACACACAAACACATACACTGTACCCCTCAATGCAGTATGTGTGTGTGTATTCAGCAGTCTGTGTGTGTGTGTGTGTGTGTGTGTCTTCAGCAGTCTCTGTATATGTATTCAGCAGTCTGTGTGTGTATGTATTGCATTTGTTGGAGATACTAATAAATATAAGCTTAAAGGACTACTCTAGGCACCCAGACCACTTCAGCTTAATGAAGTGGTCTAGGTGCCAGGTCCCTCTAGGATTAACCCTTTTTTTTTTTTATAAACATAGTAGTTACAGAGAAACTGCTATGTTTATAAATGGGTTAATCCAGCCTCTAAATCCTCTAGTGGCTGTCTCATTGACAGCCGCTAGAGGCGCTTGCGTGCTTCTCGTTGTGAAAATCACACAGTTCATCTTGCTGCTCGTGAATGCGCCCACTGTGCACATGCGCGGAGTAACATTAACTGCTTCTGACAGTCAGGCATTGGATTCAATCAGAAGAAGCTGATTGTCAGCTCGCAGCACCTGCCTCACAGGTGCCCAAGGTCCAACAATGCTTCTCTATGAGAAGCATTTGATTAGACTTTGGAGAGGGGAGCAGTGATGCGACATGACGACAGAGAAGGCAGGGGAAGAACCTGTGCTATAAAATGCCCTAGCCAATAATACATACTTTTTGCTAGATTGTTTCCTCATCTAAATACATAGCTACAGTTTAAATAGGCCTATCATAATCAATAAGCAACAAACGCTGTTCAACAGTTAAAGGAGCCACGTAACAACAACAGTGTCAGGAGTCCCCTGGTGCCATCCCAAGGAGTTACACCATTTTTAAACACTTTTGTGATATAGCTAAAAGAAGTTCTCATCACGCTTAGCAATATTAAGTCTGTCTCTATCTGCCTGTGTCAGTCTCTCTGCCTGTATCACTGTATCAGTCTGTCCCCCTCTCTCTATATCCCTGTCTCAGTCTGTCTGTGTTTCGCTCTCTGTTTTCCTGTCTCTGTTCCAATCCCTGTGTGTGTGTGTGTGTGTCTCTGGCTCTTTCTGTCCCTGTCTCAGTCCATATTTCTCTCTCTGTTTTCCTGTGTCAATCTCTCTCTCTCTCTGTAACTCTTTCTCTATCCCTGTGTGTGTGTGTCTCTCTCTCTCTGTTTTCCTGTGTCAATTTCTCTTTCTCTATCCCTGTGTGTGTGTGTCTCTCTGTTTTCCTGTGTCAATCTCTCTTTCTCTATCCCTGTGTGTGTGTGTCTCTCTGTTTTCCTGTGTCAATCTCTCTTTCTCTATCCCTGTGTGTGTGTGTGTCTCTCTCTCTGTTTTCCTGTGTCAATCTCTCTTTCTCTATCCCTGTGTGTGTGTCTCTCTCTCTGTTTTCCTGTGTCAATCTCTCTTTCTCTATCCCTGTGTGTGTCTCTCTCTCTGTTTTCCTGTGTCAATCTCTCTTTCTCTATCCCTGTGTGTGTGTCTCTCTCTCTCTGTTTTCCTGTGTCAATCTCACTTTCTCTGTAACTCTGTCTCTATCCCTGTGTGTGTGTGTCTTCCTGTTTTCCTGTGTCAATCTCTCTCTCTCTCTGTAACGGTCTCTATCCCTGTGTGTGTGTGTCTGTCTCTCTCGGTCTCTTTTTTTTTGTCTGTTTTCTTGTGTCTCTCTCTGGCTTTTTCTATCCCTGTCTCAGTCTCTCTCACTTTTTGTGTTTTTCTGTGTCCGTCTCTGTGTCTGTGTTTTCCTGTGTCTCTCTTTGGCTTTTCTATCTCTCTCTCTCTCTCTCTCTCTCTCTGTGTTTTCATGTGTCTCTCTCTGTCCCTGTCTCAGTCTCTCGCTCTGTGTTTTCCTTTGTCTTTCTCTGTCTTTCCCTGTGTCTCTCTGTCCCTGTTTCAGTCACTCTCTGTTTTCCAGTGTCTCTCGCTTTCTGTGTTTTCCTGTCTCAGTCTCTCTCTCTGTGTTTTCTTGTGTCTCTCTGTGTCCCTGTCTCAGTGTGTGTTTTCCTGTATCTGGCTCTCTCTCTGTCTCTTTCTGTCCCTGTCTCAGTCTGTCTCTCTAAGTTTTCCTGTGTGTGTCTCTCTCTCTGGCTCTTTCTGTCCCTGTCTCTCTTTCTTGGTGTGTGTGTTTTCCTGTGTCTGTCTCTCTCTCTGGCTTTCTGTCCCTGTCCCTCTCTGTCGGTGTGTGTGTGTTTTCCTGTGTTTGTCTCTCTCTCTGTGTGTGTATTTTCCTTTGTCTGTCTCTCTGTCTCTTTCTGTCCATCTCTATCTCTCTCCCTGTCTCTTTTTGTCCCTGTCTGTCTCTCTCTCTATCCCTGCCCCTCTCCCTATCTCTCAGTCTGTCTCTCTCTCTCAGTCTGTCTCTCTCTATCTCTTTCTCCCTGTCCCTGTCTCTCTGTCTCTTTCTCCCTGTCTCTTTCGCCCTGTCTCTCTCTCTCTCCCTGTCCCTGTCTCTCTCTCCCTGTCCCTGTCTCTCTGTCTCTCTCTCCCTGTCCCTGTCTCTCTATCTCTCTCTCCCTGTCCCTGTCTCTCTCTCTCTCTCTCCCTGTCTCTCTCTCTCTCTCTCTCTCTCTTTCTCCCTGTCTCTCTATCTCTTTCTCCCTGTCTCTCTATCTTTTCTCCCTGTCTCTCTATCTCTTTCTCCCTGTCTCTCTATCTCTTTCTCCCTGTCTCTCTATCTCTTTCTCCCTGTCTCTCTATCTCTTTCTCCCTGTCCCTGTCTCTCTCTTTCTCCCTGTCTCTTTCTCCCTGTCTCTCTCTCTTTCTCCCTGTCTCTCTCTCTTTCTCCCTGTCTCTCTCTCTCTTTCTCCCTGTCCCTGTCTCTCTCTCTCTTTCTCCCTGTCCCTGTCTCTCTCTCTCTTTCTCCCTGTCCCTGTCTCTCTCTCTCTTTCTCCCTGTCCCTGTCTCTCTCTCTCTTTCTCCCTCTCCCTGTCTCTCTATCTCTTTCTCCCTGTCTCTCTTTCTCCCTGTCTCTCTTTCTCCCTGTCTCTCTTTCTCCCTGTCTCTCTTTCTCCCTGTCTCTCTTTCTCCCTGTCTCTCTTTCTCCCTGTCCCTGTCTCTCTTTCTCCCTGTCCCTGTCTCTCTTTCTCCCTGTCCCTCTATCTCTTTCTCCCTGTCTCTCTATCTCTTTCTCCCTGTCTCTCTTTCTCCCTGTCCCTGTCTCTCTATCTCTTTCTCCCTGTCCCTGTCTCTCTTTCTCCCTGTCCCTGTCCCTGTCTCTCTCTCTCTCTTTCTCCCTGTCTCTCTCTCTCTCTTTCTCCCTGTCTCTCTCTCTCTCTCTTTCTCCCTGTCTCTCTCTCTTTCTCCCTCTCCCTCAGTCTGTCTTTCTCCCTGTCCCTGTCTCTCTATCTCTTTCTCCCTCTCCCTCAGTCTGTCTTTCTCCCTGTCCCTGTCTCTCTATCTCTTTCTCCCTCTCCCTCAGTCTGTCTCTCTCTCAGTCTCCCTGTCAGGCTCCCTGTGTGAGGCCGAGCTGGTGGCTGGAAGCGCTGCCATTGGCCGGCTCCGGTCACGTGTGGTAGCGGCGGACAGCTGGCTGCGGCTGATCGCGGTCGGTGCCGCCGCCTGCTCCCGCCTCCCAGCCCGGGCTCCCCTCCCTCCGCTCGGCCTCCGCTCAGTGAACCCGCCGCAGCATGGGAGACAAGAAAAGCCCGACCAGGTGAGAGACTCGCAGCCCGAGAGGGGGATGGGCGGGGCGGGGCCAGGCTCCCTGGGAGGAGGGGGGAGGAGGGAGGTAATCCGGACAGTGTGGCAGGAAAGGCCGAGGACCCGCAGAGCCAGCAGGCCGCGCCCCGTGCAGCTCCCCCCCCCCCAGCCAGCCCCGTGCAGCCAGCACTCACTCCCAGCCAGCCCCGCCGTACAGCCAGCCCCGTGCAGCTCCCCCAGGCAGCCCCAGCCAGCTCCCCTCTCCCTGTGCAGCCAGCTCCCTCCCGTGCAGCCAGCCCCCTCTCCCCTGTGCAGCCAGCCCCCTCTCCCCGTGCAGCCAGCTCCCTCTCTCCCCTGTGCAGCCAGCCCCCCGTGTAGCTCCATGTCCCCCGCTCACCTCAGCCAGCTCCCCCTCTCCTGTGCAGCCCCAGCCAGCTCCCCTCTCCCTGTGCAGCCCTCCCAGCCAGCTCCCTCTCCCCTGTGCAGCCAGCCCCCTGTGTAGCCCTGTCCCCGCTCACTCCTAGCCAGCCCCCCTGCAGCCAGCCAGCTCCCCTCCTCCCCTGTGCAGCCAGCCCCCCCGTGTGTGTAGCCCCATGTCCCCGCTCACTCCTGGCCAGCCCCCTGTGTAGCCAGCCAGCTCCCTCTCCCCGTGTGCAGCCCCATGTCCCCTGCCTCACTCCTAGCCAGCCCCCGCCGTGTAGCCCCCGCCGTGCAGCCAGCCAGCTCCCCCTCTCCCAGTGAAGCCCCATGTCCCCCACTCACACCTTTCTCTCCCCCAGGCCGAAGCGGCAGCCCAAGCCGGCCAGCGACGAGGGATTCTGGGACTGCAGTGTGTGCACCTTCCGGAACAGCGCGGAGGCCTTCAAATGCCTAATGTGTGATGTACGCAAGGGGACCTCCACACGGTGAGACAACACAACGATAAACACAACTACACAATAATTACACAACACAACTACACAATAACACAACCTCCACACGGTGAGACAACACAACGATAAACACAACTACACAATAATTACACAATAACACAACCTCCACACGGTGAGACAACACAACGATAACACAACTACACAATAATTACACAATAACACAACTACACAATAACACAACCTCCACACGGTGAGATAACACAATAACACAACTACATAACGATAACACAACCTCCACACGGTGAGATAACACAATAACACAACTACACAATAACACAACCTCCACACGGTAAGAGAACACAATGATAACACAACTACACAACAATAACAAACCTCCAACGGTGAGAGAACACAATAACACAACTACACAACGATAACACAACTACACAACGATAACACAACCTCCACACGGTGAGAGAACACGATAACACAACTACACAACGATAACACAACTACACAACGATAACACAACCTCCACACGGTGAGAGAACACAACTACACAACGATAACACAACCTCCACACGGTGAGAGAACACAACGATTACACAACTACACAACGATAACACAACCTCCACACAGTGAGATAACACAACTACACAATGATAACACAACACAACCTCCACACGGTGAGATAACACAACCTCCACACGGTGAGATAACACAATAACACAATAACAGCACAATGATACAACTACACAATAACACAACCTCCACATGGTGAGATAACACAACGATAACACAATTACACAATGACACAAGCTCCACACGGTGAGGTAGCACAATAACACAACTACACAACAGCCTTCACATTATTGAGACTCAATAACACAACTACACACCTGCCACATGGTGAAACAGAGTAATAGCACAACTGCACAATATTAACATAACCTCCACGCTGTGGAACACGATAACATAATAGTAGCACACTATAATAACTCAACACAACCTCCACATGGTTAGACACAATAATAACAAAGTATTTAATCAGGAAAGGTACATTCAGATTACTCTGGTTTTCAAATGCGTCTTGGGTATGTTACCTTAGCCCAGGGGTAGGCAACTTGTGGCACGTGAGCCATGCACGGCACTCAAGGCTGCCAGAGCCAAACAGGGTATGGTCTATCAGGAGTCCCAGTGAAACTTCAGATATCTGGTAATACGAAAAGGTGGTGAAGGAAAATAATCAATGTATGCATTGCACAACTTGTGAATGGGAACTCAAGGATTTTACAATTATCATGACGGAAAGTCATGATTTTATTAAAGACACAGAGGCTCCTATTATGCTGCACTCTTTCTTTATTTCCCTCAGCAGCAAAGAAACGTTATTGAAAAAGAACATTCAAAGCAGGTATAAACACCATATAGGCAATGTCCGCCTAGCAACATGACCATCCAATCAGTGACCTCCTTCTCATATAGTAGGCGGAGCATTGATGACCATTTCCTCTTTCTTGCGACTCCCGAAGAACACTTAAACTCGGAACAGAAAAACCAAGTAAACCAAACGAGCCGTAACAAGGCATGTGATTCCAGGAGGTCTTTCAACCAGGTCACGCTAAAGAAACAAGAAAATATGGTAATTTCTTGAAAGTTTTGGGTTGTGTGTATGTGTGTGTGTGTGTGTGTGTGTGTGTATATATATATATATATATATATATGTGTGTGTGTGTGTGTATATACTCTCCAAATGACTGACTAAACAGTGTAAACCTTACATAACAGTAGTAAGAGGCAACTACCAATTTGAGGACAACATTGGCAATAAAGTCCCATCATTAGATAATGTCCTAGATCGATGTAGGTATGTGATGGCATCACTACCGCCAAATTGAACTTACCTTGGAGAGGTCTGAAAACTTACCTCGACCCACCTCCAAGCAGCCCGAGGGCGGGTGGGTAGGATAATACTCGCCTCCGTGTCTTTATTAAAATCATGACTTTCCATCATGATAATTGTAAAATCCTTGAATTTTATTAAAGACCCAGAGGCTCCTATTATGCTATTTCAAAGCTGTGATATCATGGGTTCTGCAAAGTGCTGGATTGGTTTGAAATAGAAATTACGGAAAGTAGATTCTGCGGACCAATCAGCCGCCTTCAATATATCTTCCAAGCGACAACCTGCACAGGAAACTTTAGAAGCCATGGCACCACGAACCTAATGAGGAGAAAATATGGAGGTATTAATACCTGCTAGGACATGAGCCATTTGACCCAGCGTGCCAAGGTAGGAGAGGATACCGGAGCATGTAGCTTACGGAAGGAGATGAAGAGTTGGGGTTCTGACCCAGACCGAAGGGATGCAGTACGAGCTTCGTACGCCCTAAGACACGCTCCTGGGCAAAGGAGCGGCTTCATGGGAAAAGTTGGATACAGGACCGACCTGGAGGATGATTTCGTCCTCCGTGATATGTCAAAAATGACTTCTTCTTGGGTGAATGATCGCTCATTGACATCGAGATCTCCGTCTGACACTCTTTTGCATGAGATTAGGCACAACAGCATAACTAGCTTAACTGAGAGTTGTTTTAAGGATAAAGACTCGTCTGGCCACCTAGTCAGGTATTTTAATACCAGGGAGACGTCCCATAGGGAGGAATAGCGAGGTAGGGGTGGCCTTGCAAAGCGAATGCCTCGGAGAAGACGACAAACCAATGTATGTCGTCCTATCGGGGCCCCGTCAATGCTGGTATGGCCGGCTGAGATAGCTGATCGGTAGAGATTTACCGTCCTGTAAGCTTTCCCATTATCATAAAGGGAGGTTAAGAATTGTAGGACT